GCGGCCGTTATCGGCGCCACCGTGCCCACGGGGTTCGAGCAGACGGCGGCCGAGGAGGTGCAGGAGAAACTGGGCTCGGCCTCCAGGATCAGCAGGGACCGGGGCAAAATCTACTTCGCGGTCCCGGCCCGGAGCCTGCCGCAGGTCCGTGCACGCCGCCTGCTCCGCTCCCTGCTCCGCTGTCCCCGCCGCGGCCTCGCTGCCCTCCCCGGCCCTGCCCGGTCCGGTGGGTCACGGCCCCTCCGAGCAGAGCGCTCCGCTGTCGGAGGCCGCGGCCGGCCCGGGTGCAGCAGCTGTATCCGCCTTTATCGCGGTTTGAAAGGGAGATTAAGTCAAAACTGGGGAGGTTAAATCAGTGCAGAGGTATAGTGATAACTCCCTTGGGGACTAAAGTGGAAAATCGTGCATGTAAAATGGCAAAATTCTAACGACAGTAAACACAATCCCTATGACACGCGGTTAGTAACGTGCCACCGTGCCTTCTCATCTCCTCTAGGTCCACCGTCTGCGGTCAGTGGATAATTTATTTGTTGTTGTTGAAGAGTTCAAAGACTATCAATTTAAAGAAAATAAGGTGAGGTATTCCTCATTTTTCGGTCAGTTCTGGGGTTTGAAGTGTTGTTTGGTTTGACTGTTTTTTAGTTTAAGACTAGTGTCAAAGTATTCTGTTTGTTTAACAAGTTTGTTGGGTTTTTCAGTTGTGATATTGTTCCAGTTCCTCTTTTCTGGCTTGTAAATGGAACTGTGGCCATGTTGTCTAACATTTCTTCAGTTAAATATGTTGCATTGGCAAAATCTGGGGTGAGAGCTGATGCCATGTTTGTAGGTCACAGACATAGGACAGTGATGTATCGCTTTGGTCACTTAATGCACTGCTAGCTGTTTGTTTTATGCGATAAACTGTGAAATCCTGTGGGTCTTGTGATTTTCAGTGTAATTCCTTTTATGGCAAGAATTGGACAAAAACCTGTAAGCTTTTCTTAAAGATGTAGTGGGTTAATGTTTAATAAACTACTTTGAGAGACCTAAAAATAAAAGATAACTTTTAAAGGAATGAAATTACTTCAAATTACGACTTCTTCTGTCTGTTAAAGGAAGATGCTTTAAAGGATTTGGAAGGTTTGGTTAAAAAGCTGCCCTGGACCGATCCGTTGAAAGTTTGGGAGCTGAACAACAGCTTAAAAAAGAAAAAGACAAAACGCAAAAAACACAATTTGCAGAGTCCTGCAAGCAAGGAGAAGCTGAATGATGGTGGAGAAGAGGGAGGAGCAGACCAAAACGACACTAATGACCAGGAGGACTGTGCCCAAAACATTGTGGGTGTGGCTAGCAGCCAGGATACAGAGAAGCCCCAAGGGGTGGCATCCCAAAATGGGGGAGAGGAGGAAGAGGAGGATAATGAGCAACTGAATGCGAGGGACGAAGTGCAGGCGAGTTCTGGGAGTAGTACCAAGGCTGGTGATGGTCAGACAGCTGAAGGAGAGGCGAAGGTGCTGAAGTTCCGTGTGACGTGCAACAGAGCTGGAGACAAGCACAGCTTCACATCAAACGAGGCTGCGAGAGACTTCGGTGGAGCCGTGCAGGAGCACTTCCAGTGGAAAGCTGACATGACGAACTTTGACGTGGAGGTATGGTGGTGTGCCTTGGAAATGCCTATGTTTCTGCTGTACAAATCTTTAGTTCTTAATTCTGATGCTTAGAGGTCCCCAAATTGCCTTTCAGAGACTCTGGAACTGAAAGTGTTCATTTCCCTGACACTTTACATGTGTCCTCCGATCCCAGCAGTTGCTGGTGCTTTGGCTATCCATGATAATAATCTCTGGAGTGGCCCAGTGTGGCACCTCTCCCTTCCCCGGGCCTCTAATTTGTTCAAACGCTGCTGTCTCCTCTTGTCAGCTGATGAACCAGCACAGCTGAGCTGGGGCTGCAAAGCTCTCTCCCAGCCACAGCAAAGGCTTGAGTTCTGAGTATTACCACCTGCTATAGCCTTTGGTTTCCTTCGTATTTAAAGGTAATGCCAGTGCCTTCTGCTTTGCTTTTACCCTCAGTAAACCTGTCCTTATTCCGTTGTTTAATATCACTCTAAGTTGTCAGGAGATGCTCCATCTGGAAGCTGGTTTTATGGGTGAAGGGAACAGAAAAGGTTAACAGTAACTGTCCAGTGTTTATTTCCTGTCAGAGGAGAGCAGAGTTTGGGAAAGCACAACCAACACCCTTGGTAGGAGTACTGTTTCTGAGGGACAAAGAGACTTGTTTTTCTTGTGGTTTATTAAGGGCTGGTCACTGCCCTGGAGCAAGATGCTAATATGGTCTCCACCACAAATATGAATTTTATTGCTGCTTTGCAGATACTTCACTGTGACTTCCAGGACTTACTTGGCTTCTCCCCCAAACTTAAAAACTAAACCTTTTAGGAAGCCAGTGTAATTGTTATAGCGCTTTGGGAAGTCTTGTGTAAAAGATTCTGTGTGACTGAGAGAATATGTGAATGCTCTCCCAAGTTCTGTCCTTTATGGTTATAAAAATGGGGCTTTGATTTTCCTACAAGAAGAAAAGCTCTTTTATACATCGTTCCTGGTTTTTAAATTGCCCTATAACTTCCCATAAATATTTACCAGGCATACTATGGAAACTCCTGAAATTCAGTTCAGGTTTTTTCTTTAGGTTCTTCTGAATATTCACAACAATGAAGTGGTGGTGGGGATTGCATTAACTGAAGAGAGTCTCCACAGACGGAATATCACACACTTCGGACCCACGACGCTGCGTTCGACTCTGGCTTACGGCATGCTCAGGTCAGGGCAGCTGCGTTCAGTTATACTCAATTAATGAGCCCTTTTGTTTCAGAAATTAGGCCCTTTATCTCCCCACTGCTTCCTCAGAAGCCATTTCTGTTAATTCTCGAAAAAAAATTTAAAAAGCAGAGTTGCTGACACAGTGTGCTTTGTAGTTACAGTGGTGGTTTCCCAGACAAGGAAAGTAAATCTTTGCTGTGTTAGCCTAGCTTCAGAATAGTGTATCACATTTGTGAAAGAATTTCACTGTATTGCTGCTCGTAAAATGGTAATTAACGTATTGAAAAAATAATCACAAAGTTTTTTTGTTAAAAGGATAGAATCAGAATTATTAAAATAGTTCACTTTCCCTTCCTTAGAGAAATTCACATTTTCTTGGCTTTTCTCACCATATCTTTTCTTCTATTTTTCAGACTCTGTGATCCCCAGCCCACAGATATCATAGTTGATCCCATGTGTGGTACAGGTGCGATACCAATAGAGGTGATTCTTCTGTGATTTTTTTAACTTAATTAAACTTAACAGTATCTGTAACTCAATAATGTGTGTAAGTCTTCTTGGTAATGACTGAATAGCGAGGTCCAATCTCACCAACTTTTGAACAGATACAAATACACTTTTTGTAAGTGACCTTTTTCCTTCTCTGGTCTATAGCAGGAAGAAACTAAATCCAAAAGTATTTTGAGCCTTAAAGGTGCATAATACCTGTAGCAGCTATCTGTTACAGAACTCTAAAATTCCTTGCCATCCACTTGCAGTTGCTTTGTTGTATTTTGTCATGTTTGAATAATTCTTCTGTTTGTTATGTTTTCAGTCAAGCAGCGTTGATGCTAATGTTGCTTATTATCAATTCTCCCCTAGGGAGCTGCAGAATGGCCCGGCTGCTACCACATTGCAGGGGATAACAACCCTCAGGCTGTGAAGAGAGCAGCAAACAATATCTGCTCCTTACTGAGGAAAAATGAGAGTAAGGACAGGTGAGAAGAGCACAAGGGATTTCTGTTTCCTGCAGCGTTGTATGCAGAGAAATCCACTTTGCATTGATGCTTTGGAGTGTCTAGTTCATATTTTCCTGTTTGTTCCACTTCCAATGTTCTAGATCTCCTCAGTGTAAAAACCTTCTGAGTGCTCATGTCTGAGGTAACTGCCTTTGCCCTTGCAGCAGCACTGTCCAAGGTGTTCCCTTGGACATCATCCAGTGGGACATCTGCAACCTGCCTCTCCGGACGGGCTCTGTGGACATCGTAGTGACAGACATGCCCTTTGGGAAGAGGTGAGGAGTGCTGGAAAGGTGCTGTGCCTCACTGCCACAGCTGCATGGGCTCACCTGGCCAGGCCTGGGCTTCTCTCCAGTCAGGTCCTTAACTGGGCCTAGTTGGGAAGGTGTGACAGGCCCTATGGTAAAAATACAGCTTGAAAGTAACAGTAACTGTGGTCCTGAATAAGCTGATCCTTGTCTGAGACCAACATCAGTGAACTGGTTTCAGTGATCACAAAGGACATCTGAATGTATCTTGC